CACCACAATTACTGGATAGAAATGGCATTCAGTGCTTGCCAGTCTCCATTAGATTTGAACTAGTTACCTGGAATGAACTTGGTAGGAAATGAAGAAAGCTTATCAGCCACTGTTCTAATAGATGCCACAAAAGAAGCCACCGAGAATTACTGAAGTTCTTTTGATCTCCCTGAATAGCTTTGTAAGCACTCGATGCTGTAGCCTTTTGAAGCTAAGTGGATGTGTTCCTGCTTAATTTTTGGATGGGTGCTCATTAAGTTTTCTATAAAAACTAAAGAAGGGGCTGCACTTGAGTGGCAGAGCACGTGCTTTGCATGTAGAAGGTCCCAGGATCAATCGTTGGCATCTCCAGGTAGGACGAAGAAAACCCCATGAATCTCGGAGAATCACTGCCAGTTGTTGCTCACAGTACGCAAAGTGATCTGTACTGGAGCCAGTGCTTTTCATAAATGATCTGGACCTAGGAGTATGCAGTGCGGTAGCCAAATTTGTAATAACACCACATTATGTACTGTTGCTGAAAAGGGTGTTCCAATGAAATCCAAAAGGAACAGAAGAATAATGGGCAATAAAATGGAAAACTGGTTCAACGCAAGCAGAATTAAAGTGATGCATACTTTACATGCAGCAGTTCTACTGATGGGATCTGAACTAGCTGTGGCTGACCAAGAAAAAGATCAGGGGTTATGGTGCACAGCTCAGCAAAAGATTGACACAGTGTGTGGCTGCTTGACAAGGGCAAATTTCATTTTGAACATAATTAGGAAAGTAATAGAAAGGAAAGCCGCCAATATCATACTAAGCGAAGATCACACTTGAAGTGCTGTCAGTGCAACACGCGTTCTGGTCACTGCATCTAAAAATGTATATTAAAAGGTTGGAAAAGTTTCATTAAAGCGCAACTAAATGGGTCAATCAGCCACAGCAACTCCCCTATGAAGAAAGGGCCCGGAGTATTTAACCTAGAAAAGGGGTGAGTGAATCGTGTTGGGAGTTGCCCACAATCATGCAAAATGTCAGAAAGTGCACAGGCATTTTTCTCCCTCTCTCACAAGACTAGAACCCAAGATCATCCCATGAAGCTGGCCAATAGGAGGCTCTGGACACAACACATCGTTAAAGGATGGAATTTGGTGCCACCAGTTTGGATGACTTTCAAAGGAGGCTACACAACTTCCTGAAGATAAAGGCTTGCAGGGGCTACCAGTTCTGATGGCTAGACGCTGCATCCAGTATGGAGCAGCATGGCTATGTGCGTCCATTCAAGGGGAAGAGGGGAGCATGCTGGTGTGGACCCCTGCTCTGATGCAGCCGGGCTCTTCTTAGGTTGTGAGTTTTACGTAATGCTGCGAGGATGAGAATTTTATTCAGTATCAGCTGTCCTGCATGACAGGAAGTGCAGAAATAATGCTAGAAAAAACAATGCCTATTCCTGGCTAGTTTACAAGTTGTGTCCCCCGCCCCACTGCCCTGCTCTCCACCCAAAAGAAAAAAAAAAAAGCCAAGATAAAAGGAAGCTTGCTGACATGGCTCGTGACAATGCTGGTCAGAAGAAGAGGAGGCCTTCTGCAAAGTGGCTTCAGTGAACCGCTTCTCCCCATTCTGCTTTACCCCAAACAAAACCCCGTTCTCCTTGCACAGTGTCTGCACCACCCCTACCGCCACCCTAAGCCTTTTCCTCTGGGGAGGCAGAACCTGGTGGTGCTATCAGCATGTTTATTCTGCTGGGGCGAATGGCTCCCCCCCAGCCTTGCCTCTGCATTTCGTCTCCCCTGCAGCTCAAGTCCAACGAAATGCTGAACAGACAGCCCTAGTCATAACATTTGGGCACTTGCCTTTAGGAGTGACTAATCCTTCCACCGATCTTTTCCAGCTCGAAGTTGGAATAACTCAAAGAGTGCAATCAGCTTTCTTTGCCTTGGTGGCCAAAGCTGACGCAAGGACCCTGTTACTCAAGAGATGCCCCCGGGGTTGCAAATCGCTTACAGGGCAGGTGGGGCTGTCTGCACTGCGTATTTGCCTAGGCATGATTGTAACCACAGCAACTGGAAATACACTGCAGGGATTTTGGGATCCACCCCCATGTCAAAGCAGGACTGTGCCACTTTTCCCCCGGCCTCAGCAGGCAGCAGGTGCCCACTCTTGGCTGCCATGCTACTCTGGAGGCGAACGAGGACAGGCTGAGTTCACTGATCTTCCTACACAGTCGGCTGTTTCTTGTGCTCTTGTGTGCTGTATCTTATTACACAAATCTATTGTGCAACTAGACTTGTGACGCTGTGCACAGTTCTAGAAAAAATGCATAAACGGGCAACCAAGATGAAGTCCCTTATGAGGAAAGAGTTCAATGTGTGTGGCTGTGTAGAATAGAAGAAAATGTGAATAAGAGAAATAACAATAGAGGTGTACAATATTGTAGGGTGTGAAGAATGCCAATATGGAGGAATTTTTCTCTACCTCTCATAATAGTAGAATCCAGCAAGCTGATTGGTGGGAGGTAAGGACAGGTTTTAAAAAGAACTTCTTCAGAAAGGATGTATTTAAACCATGGAATTCATGGCCTCTAAATGTAATGATGCCCACCCAACTGGATGGGTTTTGAAGGGTGTTAGGTAAACCCCTGCATGATAAGGCTGCCAGTGCTTCTAGACCTGATAGCCACGAGCTTCCTTCAGAGGCAGCCCCTGATTATTAGCTACTGGAGAGCAAGAGCAGCTTTCTGGGGACTCAAGGACAAGATACCCTCAGTGGGCCCTCATGAGTCTGCCCTCTCACCGCCATTGCCACAAGCTGCTCTTCCTCTTCCTCGTCCTTATCGTTGATTTGGCTTGCATCCCTCAGAGAAACAGAACCAGTGAGCAATTAAGCAGCGGCTTCTGCTCCTCTTCTTTCTCGCCGGCAGGGTAGTCTGGACCAGAGCAAGGAACAGGTGAGCAAGCAGGCTGCCATGAGGAGGAGAGGTCCAGGAAGCACCTGTTGGTGGGCCTCTGCTAGGATTTGGGCCCTTGGAAGATGCCTGGTGATGGCTATCGTTGATACCAGCACTGCCCTCATGTCCTCACCTATGAGTTCTCCTCAGGCAGTTGGTTGGCTGCTGTGCGGGCAAAATGCTGGACTAGAGGGGCTTTTGGTCATATTCAGGATGGCTCCTCTTACATGGGTCATGATGGGCTGGACAGTGCAGCTTGAACAGGTTTGCCATGCAAGACACATTCAACTTGTTGACATAGCAACAAGCTACCTTACTGAGGCATACACAATTCCCCTCCTTCCAGTGGATTCCAGTAATGGGCTCATTCTAACACACATCATTGGTTTCATCTGTCACTGTTGCTTGAAATAAATGGCCTTTTGATAGTTTAACCTCCTGCACATTTTTACAAAAATGGTAAATAAACAAGCAAGGAAATCAATTCTTTACACTCAGTACTGGAAGACTATTTGACCTGCACTATTTGTGACTTTGTGCACTGGAACATTGCGATGATCAAGCGTCTGTTGCTCCAAACTCCCTCTTCTGTAGAGAATCTTGTTTTTGTTTCCGGCTGCTCTGTTTTATTAAAAAACGTGCTTCTAATTTGCCAGATCCTTTGAATGGATCGGTGGATAGTATGGAAAAAAATCTAGCATATTTCTATCACATTCAAAACCTTAAGCTCAATATGACATCAGTAGTTTAACCTGAGCTTCTGCTTTTGATTATATCTTCCATTTAATTGGCAAAATGTAGGTGAAAGTAAAGCTAAAAGCCTGAGCACATGTGATTAAAGATCTCCATAAAACAGGCTGGATTATGCCATTCTTTAAACTGAGTTCTAGTGGCAACAAAGAAAACAAGTTTTTGGAATTCAGTATGAACCTACATTGTCTCCTGCCAGCAGAACTTGCTTTGCCACCAAGCTCACATGAATTCCTATTCTCTGTAAAAAGTTAGAATCTTTATTTACTTTCACGTCTTAAGAAGCCATTCAGAAGATTAAAGAGAAGACAATAGGTGTGGCATTGCCATAGTACATACTGAAAGTTGGGGAAGTAACAGGGATGGCCTAAGACGTTTTGCTGCCTGCAGCAAAGAATACCATGGCAGCCCTCCCAGTCCATGTTCAAAAGCCAACGAGGCTGACAGTGCTGGGGATGAGCCAGCGAACTTCACTTTACCTGAAGGCAGCAGGATGGCTTAGGGGGCAGGGGCCAAAGGACGTGCAGCTTCTCTAACCCCCTGCTGCTGCCTCCCAGCAAGCCAACCTGGGAGTAATCCCCATCAAACAAATCCAGAAAAGACTGACTCCAGTATAAACATGCATGGGACTGGTTTAAGCCATTGCATGTTAGGAGTCTAGAATCTCCCCTAGGCTGAGCCAAACCATTGGCCCATCCCAGCAGTGGCTGAGAGGGGCTCTCTGGGGGGTCGGCAGGGGTGGGGGGACTTGACCTAGCCCTACCTGGAGATGCAGTCAACTGATTCCAGGGGATCTCCCACAAGCACACCGTGTGCTCCGCCAAGGAGCCGTGGCCCCTGCCTAGTCAAAGGAAGGGGAGGTGAGCCCAAATAAAATGCAGATCGCTCTTTCGCTTCTTGCACTGCCTACCCTTAAAATTTGGTGTGTGCTTACATAATGATGGCACGGACACTGGTAATGTATATGTATAGATGTGAATTTACAGATCATGACTATGATTTAAATAGAAATACAAACATCCTAGCAAAGAAGCTGTGACTTACTCATGTGACTGTTCAGTCTCTGCACAAGTTCCCAGTTCTCTCTTCTTATGGTTCTTTATCTTTGAAGTGGATGTGAGTTAACAGCCATTCAAAGTGGAGATAACTCCAAACAGAGGACTGTCCTCTGGCATCCTTTAAATTAAATAGGTCACACAGCCACCCAATCTGTGACTAGTTGCCAATGGCCAGTCCCTTTGGAAGCACCTTCTAACTTTAGTCCGATAATTTCCAAGTTGCCACTGAAAGATTTAAGCATATTTCACTTATGATCACTTACCTCCCCTCTGGTACAAGGTACCGCATTGGAATACCTGGAAGTACACAGAGATCCTTCCTCAAGAGTATCGTCTGGAAGCCCAAAAGTGGCTGTACAGTTGACAGCAAAATATTTGTAAGGCCTCCATGTCTGCCCATAGTCCTGGGACCTCTCCAACACCATGGCTGCTGGGCGAGGTGATCTGAACACTACAATGACATGCGTCAGGTAGAACTCCGTCTCCAAGTCCAGCCGGATCTCTTCCCTGTGTACCCCTTGTGCGGATTGCCACCAGGAGCCAGGGTTCAGAAAGAAGTCATCGGTCATATCATACGGGAGATGAGAGTTATCCGGCTGGTTGGCATTGCACTTGGTGCACCGGGGCTGCCCACAGCCTTGGGAGGCACGGTGGAGGAGGCTGTGGTCTGGGTAAAAGCAGTAAAGCTCTGTGCTGTTCTGCCCACAACTGGTCAGGGTGACTGGTGTTCTGCCTGTTGCTAGATTCCCGACAGCAGGGTTGCAGGAGTGCCGATCACAGCGGAAGGCTCGTAGCTTCACAGAATCTGCAGAAGGAGAACAACACCACACCAAATCAGTGTCCCGAACAGTTCTGTATTACCCTCCCTAAGCACAGATCCTCACCAAGCACCTGGCTCCAATCTGCATCCCATTCAAGGAACTCAGGAAGCCACTTTCTACTGAGTCAGACCCTGACTCCACCTAGCCTTGCATTCTTGACACTGACCTGCAGCAGCTCTCCAGGCAGGTTTCCCTTTGAGGGCCACCTGGACATGCCAGGGATTGAAACTGGGACCTCTTTTAAGCAAAGCAGGGTCTCTCACTGAGCTGCCGTGCTGCTCTCCCTCGTTCACTATCCTACCTGTCACCCAACTCATTGCATTTTTTAAAAAAAGCTACCTTCTTTGAAACACTTTGTTTTGGAAGGAGAATCAAGGATGCCAACTCAGTCGAGCTATCTAGTGAGGCTTGGTGTGCACGGTCTGTTGTGGCTGAAAAGCACCAGAAGAACACAAGAAGAGCCCTGCTCTCGGGTCAGACCATGGGCCCATCCAGCCCAGCGTTCTGTTTGCACAGTGGCTGGCCAGCTCCAGGGCATGAACGCAACAGCAGCCTCCTATCCCTGCATAACTGGTGTATGCATACTGGTCTATATGCATACTGCCTCTGCTTCTGGAAACAGCATATAGCCATCGGGACTAGTAGCCATTAATAACCACCCGTCCCCCTTTAAAGGGGTCCAAATTGGCAGCCATCACTACACCCTGTGGAAGTAAATTCTGTAACGTAACTCTGTGCTGTGTGAAGAAGTGCTTCCTGTATCTGTCCTCAACTAAAGCAAAAAGGGCCAGGTGCGAGAGAACACAGGAGTAGCTGTTTGACAAGCCACTCCCCACATGCCCAGCATTCTGCTAAGAGCAGCCATCCAGTGGTGGGGGAATCGAAACAGCATCCCCATAGCCACTCAAAATGCATCGGCCCTAAGACAGGGGCAGTGCTGGACCTCCTGCAGGAACTGTGACTGACTGAATGTTTGAACTCCCCCTATGAGAAAATAATCCAATCTGACCCAGTAAAACAACCTGAAGAAAGTCCATGCTAAACTGGAGTCTGAGTTTGAACCTGCAGGGAACCAAAATGGACCTTGATGGCAGGGCAAGCATTTGTAGCTCCCCATCATTACTGTGTAAGCACTTGACCAGGCTCCGCTTGGCTGAACAGGCTGCTTGACCTGAAAGCATCTCCAAGATATAAGGATGGAGGTCTTGACCTTTGGCCTAACGCTGCAAGGATGAGTTGGATGGGATCCCGTTCAGCCACAGGACATGATATTCTACCTTTAGATCAGGCAGTGCCTATGCCCTTTTCTGTATAAATGGTACACATTCAGTGCATGTCAGTGCCCTGTGGTAATGGCTTCAGGTTAAGCCTTACAGAAAACTTGAATATGAAAACAATTTTTCAGTGGAATAAGGTGCTTCAGAAGTTGTCAAAGTTTTCAGGACGTACCTTTCTTCTGCATGCTTCTGCTGTAGTGTCCCTCTCAGCAATATGATTTTATGACTTTCCCATCCACAAAGGCTTTTGGGCTGTGTGGGTGGGAAATTACTTCTAAGCTGCCTAGACAAAACAACTGGATTAGATTTAAAGAAGTTGGAACTGAAAGAAAATGAGTATTCTGTAAACAGTGATGCAAACATTACTGGAAAGAGTCCGCTCAGTGCAATAATGAGCAGGTTCTCTAGCCACTCTCCTGCATCCGCTCTGTGCAAACGGAGGGACTTGTTTGGAGTCAGTTTTACATTTCTTGTTGATGCCCTCGCACGGCTCCCTCCAACTGGTCTGGCTGAGATGATGGGAGGAAGGCTGCTCTAGAGTGGGCCACGCAACAGGACTTCCGTGAATAGAAAACACGGAAGTCCAAGGGTACCCAGCTTTGGGTCCAACCCAAGAATGACCTTGCCCAGCTCTGTTTCAAAAATAAACGTGCTTTGGTGTCGAATGAATTTCTTGGATGATTAAAAAATGGCAGGAGGCAGAAGACAAAGAATGCCCCCCCCTTCTTCCAAATCAAAAGGAAGCCTGCTGCTTTTCCTTCTTACAGATGCAGCCCCCCTCCTTTTCTGATTGCAATTTGTGGGACATGCAAAGCAGGGAGGAGCACAGTAGGCGTTCTGCTTGGTGGTGATGACAAGGAGGTTTATCTCTGCTGTGCCTGCTAATGCAGCAACATCAATAAATGGCTCCTGCCTGAACTGCTGTGTCATTAGGAACAGCAGAGTGGAGCACAAGACAAATGCGCAGGGAAGGCAAGCTGGGGGAGGGGACGGACCCCAATCCGTGGCTGGCTAAGAGCTGCCCATTGGAGGAAATTGATGCATGGCAGCGATCGCTTGGCCTCCCAATAAGACAGCCCATCCATCACTCAGTCATTCCCTGAAATGTGGGGTCATTGCGGTGGGGCACTGTGGGTGAAGGAGCAGAGGGCTCCTCGGGTAAGTGAAGAGTTACCCCGGATGCCAAAGGGAGCTCCTTGAATAATTCATTTAAAAAAGGCTGAACAATCAAGAGCGCGGTGCACTCTCGCTCCCTGGCCTCTAGGGAGCTGCATGTCATTGGGGCTGATGACGGCTGGCTTGAGTGATGGATGGTTTTGCCCAATAATCCACGGCACTCCGCTCTTTATGTGCTCACCCCTTCATCCCAGGGGAGCTGCTCAGCAAGGAGGGTGGCTAGCTAACGACTGGAAGGAGCCATCCCACTGGGGGCAAGTCACAGAGCTAGAAAAAAGCAGCACAAGAGAGCCTCTTAGTCAGGTGATGACTGAGATCAGATCCTCCCAAGAGGTAGCCAAGCAGGGGTCTGTGTGCGTGCATGTGTGTATTTACCCACTTTAGAGCCATACACAGAAAAACTGAAGGGATGAAATGCAAGGCTCTCTCTGAGTTCTACTGGCGATGCATGGGTTGAAGAGAGAGAAGCCATAACTCTGTTCGGGTTCTCCATGTGCAAAGCTGTTCTTCATCTGTGCACCTAAATGATAACCATATCATTTCTTCCATATTTCAAGTTGGTGCCTCTGGCCTTGTTATTGAATGCTTTTTACCAGTGATTGCTCTGCTATGAAAGCGAAGTGCGTGCATGCACAGACACACACACACGTACAGTCCAGTCGCAGAAAAGCAAGGAAGACCTTTTAACGTGTGAAGTGGGCTGACAAGTGTTGTGTGGACCCAGTGTTTTTATTTTTGCTGGAATATCAGTGGTCCCTCAATATGTTTTAAATTTACAAAGCAAGCATGCATTCTCTTTTAGATGACTCTAGATGGAGTTGTAATCTCTCTTAAGCAACAGATTCAAGCTTGGAAGTACTGTTAAAACCCAGGTCTAATAATGGATGCTCTAGTAGTGTCCGTGGCACCAAATGCCTTTCATCACTCAGGCTGAAATCTAATGCATGTTTTGACTGTATGAGGAATTCATTTCAGTTCATTTTAGACCAGAATTTAGTTCTCCCAGCCATGAATAAAAACTCAAACATGATCTGAAGTCAAGATCTACCAAATTCCAAATTTGTGAGCCAATAAAATGAGTTCAAAAATGCATGTATCTGAAAAGTATGATGAAAAAGTACATATTTTTAAAAGAAAATATACACAACATATCTTAACCAACTGCATGTGTACCTTTGAAAGATGCACCAAAAAGTATACCATTGGGAAAATGTTTCCTGAAATATGCACATTTTTTGTGCAATCTATAATAAAAAATCACAATCTGATATAGACATGTTGGGATGAACTTTATGATAGAAACGAGGGAATTCCAAGTTCTACAAATTTTCACATGCTTAATTGGAAGAAAGACATACTTCTAAGTAAACATGCATGGAATTGCACGGTTAGATCCAGACACTTGCTCCTAGACAAAAACAGACATGCCATGGAGATGTTTATAGATCATCTTACACTTTACATCAATTTACACTTTAAGTTGTTGGCTTGGCTTTCCATTTATACTAAAGGAAAGGAACAGTGAGGGAGGATGAATTCAAACATCTGTGTGAACCATTGCCAGGAAGTGAACTGGTTTGGGGGAAAGTAGAGCCAAACAGCAGTTGGCACTAGCAAGGCCAGCGCAGGGGCCTTTCTATCTCACCTCTCCCTTGAGGATGGACAAGTGGGGCCAGGATGTTTTTGCTGCCTGAGGCAGAGACCAAGATGGCACACCTCCCGTTCCACCCTTGGATGAAGCAGTGCTGCCATCACTCCAGAAGGCAGCGAATTAGCTGAGAGGAGACAGGGCAGGCCACACAGCGTGCAGCTCTCTCCTCCGAGGCCCTGCTGCAGTCTCCCAGCCTCTGCTGCCTGAGGCACCCACCACAGGCCCCCTGATTGGGGTGGGGGCAGCCCTGAGTGGCTACTGCCCTCTCCGAGTCCAGCCAGTGAGGAAGGCGTTGCTACATTGGAATGTTGCTGGTGGATGATTTAAGCAGATCATACACCCACGCTAAATAAATAAAACGAAATAGATACTCGGGATCTTTTAATAATAAAGGCATATATAATGTGCTAGAAGTGTTCCTGAGTATACATACTTGTTTAAAAGTATTGCCAGATCAGACCAAGGCCAGTCTAACATTGCAAGGATCTTTGCAAGGCTCCCAGCAACCAGCAGGTATTAGGTGGTCCAGTAGAAATTGGCCAGTGATTCACCAATGCGCTGTGCTCACTGGGAACAACCACTCACAACCTCATTCCTAAGCAATATTGTTTTATGCAAAGGATTAGATGGTTCCAAGCTGTGGCTCACTGCCTGTTTTGCCTGCTCCTCTATCTTCTTAGATAAGAGGCTAATAATGGCGTGTCTTTCAGAAGCCGTGCCAAGGCTACCACTGCTCCTTCAGTACCACTGATGTCAAGCACATTCGGTGCATTAGGCTTTTGTTGTCACATCACAGATGCAGGATAAGGATGTTTCACACGGGGATATGCAGATTTTGTTTAACCTGTTCTATGTCTCCCAGATTGTCACACACCTTTTG